GGAGGCCCGGCCCGGCGCCGCGACGCCGCAGGCAGGGTACCTGGGCTTGGCGTGCGAAGCGGGCTGCCCGGCAGAGCAGCGCAGCCCCGTGAGCGCGGCTGCCGTGTGGGGTCCTTGCCCTGTCAGGCCCCGGGAACGGGCTGGTTGCGGGAGCTGGCTCCTTCGGAGAGGAAGCGGCCTCAGTAGTGCCGCTGCTCAGGTGGGGGCCTGTTTCTTAGCAGGCTCTCCTGGGTGGGTGGGTGAGGAGCTGGGGTTAACGCCGTGGCTGAGGTTGATCTGGCCTTTCCCGTTAGGAGCCTCGTATGGTTACACTGCTGTCTTTTCAGAAGGCAATGTCAACTCTCGTTTCCATTTCTTCAGCACTTGGCAAGCGCTTTACAAGCATAGACCTAAGAAGATGGGTTGTGGCAGCTATGGTGCCGTTTTGCACTGAGGAGTAATGTGCATTCGAGGGCTTTTAGCAGCAGCAGCTCCTCGTACCCTGGCACGGGTCTGGAAGGCATCAGGGATGTGCTCGGGGCAGTTGGACAACTCCGTGTCCTAGCTAGTCAGCAACAGGAGAAAGGAGAAGCTGCAGAGCCCTGGAGCTGGAAAGCTCAGGCTCACTAGGAACTGACCAAGTAGGGTTTCAAAGCACCCAGAAGTTTGGCAAAGGCTACCTAAGGCAGAAGACATCAACACAAAAAAACCCTGGGTTTGTTGAATCAGTGGTTTCCATTTCTTCAGGTGTCTCTGGATTTTCTAGTCAGCTCTAGTTGCAAAAGTCACAAGGCTGAGCCCAGGTTCTGAGCACTTTTAGCTGACCTCATCACCATGATGTTGGAGTTAGAGCCTTCCTGGTTATAATGTATTTATGTGTAAAACATCTTTGTTAGGAGTTAAACTCCTGCTTACTGTTCATTCGACAGATACGGAAGCTCAGAGCAATTACTGACTAAATCCATAAAATTACCTAAGGCCAGGCCACCCATTGAGAACCACAGCTGCGAACTTAGCATATGTGTTCGCTATGCACTGCACGGTGTTTCTTAGAAGCCTAAAAAGAATATCCACAGAAACCAAGATGATGAATGGGAAGGTGCCTAAACCAGCAAATGAGAAACAGTGCTGGAGATGCAACTTAAGCTTTTCCTTTTTTTAGGAATGTAAGGATTTAATTCTGGGTTGCAGAATTGTAGCATGTTTATCTCTAAATAGCATTTAGTACCTTGAGTCCTTTCCTGAAGTTACAGGCTGCTTTCTGGTCTTTCTTACAAAACACAACTGGAAGAACTTTTATCTAGGTTGCTCAGCAGAACACACAGTTACTCAGATGTACAAGACAACGGTGTACAGTTCCTTTTTGGCTGCAGCAACATGAATCCAGATCCCTTTCTTGTGTCAGAAAATGTCCCGGTTGCCACCAGTTAGTTGTTCCAAAGACTTAGGCACTAGCATGTCTGCTCTTTTGTTTCATGGAGAATGACTGCAGGCTTTATTTAGTAGCAAAGGCTTAGGCAGATTTATTGTCTATGAAATATGGTCCTAACTTGCTTATTCCAACAAACAGGTAAAGCACATGTGACTGCGAGGAATTAGTCACAAAATGGTGTCTTTATGGCTAATGAGAAGCTCACCTGGCTTCTCACTGCCCCATTTATACAGTGGTCAAAACTACAGTGTATTACATTGCACGTGGCCAGGATGTCCGCATTCTGTCGTACCACAGAAGCATTTAATTACTCCCAGTTTAATAAACATTGCCATTACTCTCTCTTATTGGGATTGTAGGGTTTTTTAGCATCCACCTAATTTCATTATGCTCTTGTTGTGTAAAAAGTTCATCTATCAGTCACACTGTTTATGCGATCTACTTTGGTTCCTGTGTTAGCAGAACTTTCACCTGAGTAAATGCACTAATCAATATCCTAGTCATCTGCACTGGATTTGGCAAAGAGAAGTTGCTGTCAAGCCTTCTTTTAAAGCTTCTCAGCTCCTTGTAAAGCACTAAATATCAATGGGATGAGAATGAGTGGAAAACTAAGTACACATGCCACACTGTCCAGGGGTCAGATCGTTCCCGATCTTGAAAACTTAATATTCAGGTATTTCCATCATCAGTCATACTCGAAGAGTGGTTTCCTGCAGAAGGCCTATGCCACTGCAGTAACCCCATCTCCCCTCTCTTATCTGCTACCACCTGTTCTCAGTACATCCCGTTCTTCCCTAACCCCTTTGACCCCTCTATACCCCCTGCTAGAGGCTGGTCAGCCTGTATCTGGGGGCTGGCCAGTGGGGCCCTCCCCACGTGTACAGCAGTTGAGCTCACAGGGCAGGCTGTTCCAATGTATGCCTGGCTGTACTACCAGCTACTGATTTTTTTGCTTATGAAAAGACTATAAAATATCCTTGATATCTGACAGATTTGCTCTAAATTTGTCACTTGACTTAAATGTTTGTAGAGCAAATGCCTGAATTCCTTGCAGTGGCTGGCATATGCCTTCTGTCCTGAGGACAGCAGGGTAAAGCCGGTGACTGTGAGGCCGATGTATAGCCAGGATTGTATGGCAGAGCTGCAGTTGCAGTGTGGTGGTAAGAGGAGGGAGAAGTTGCTCCCTGCCCTGGTTCCTCCCAGCCTGCTCCAGCCGGGCAGAGGGCAGCGAGGGCTAGACGTGCCTCCTGCTGGCTCTCACTGTGCTGGGGAGCAGCAAGGGGACAAGCAGCTCTGACACTGCCTGTGCTCTGGCTGTCCTAGGGTAGCTCTTCTAACTAAGGAATTGAGGTTTTATGTTATTATTCTATTTTTATCCTTTTTTTCCTCTCCAAGAAAAGGTATCATAATGGTCCACATTAATGAAGGATTAGCGTATCATCTAAGAGATACAACAGCAACATGCCCCTGCAAAACCAGTTGTGTACTGCTAGGCACTGCTACTGAAAATGTATCCATCAATATTACAGGAGGAATTATGGGTGATCGCTGGTCCACAGTATTTATTTATAAAAGCAAAGTTCTAGAATGTGGCTTCTATTTTTATTAACAGCTAATAAATATTTTATACATTTATTTCTTAGTAAACCTGTGTTGTTGCTCTTGTCATTACTATGAACAGTAGTCAATTTTTGTTATATTTAATCAGGACTGCAGAATAGTTCTGTGATTTTAGTTTGGCAGCTGACAAAAAATAATTACACAAAATATGTTCATTCTGGTGCCTAGTACACTTGAGTTACTGTGGGAAACTGAGATACCTCCTCCTTTGCTTTATGAGCTGAGAGGAAACTGTTTTTCAGCCAAAATTGTTTTGTAAATTTAACTAAAATTAGGTAATGTTTTAAATTGATCAGCACCACAATTTGTAGCATTTTAGCTGTATATCTTCTCTCTCCTTTACTTCAAATAACTATAGCCCAAATAATCTCATTCTGGTATTACTTTCTCATTAATTGTTTATAAATAATAGATTTGTCACGTGGGAACTGCAATTAAAAAATACTGTTATGGATCTTTTAGTGCTTATTTCTCAAATCCTAGTTTTCAGAGTGTTCACCATCCATATATAACTGTCTCTTAAAAATATACCTTTATATAAGAATAAATATGTGTAGGAACATGCAGAAGATGATTTACAAGTAAGTTAAAATCATGCAGGCTCTAGGAAGTGAGAACAGGCACATTCATTATCTGTGCTTTGTCACTGACCGGGGAGGTTGGTTGTAGTCATGCAGGTATTATAATACAGACATGCAGCATTCACAACTATGACATTATCTATGAAAGAGACAGCAATGTGCACAGACATAAAAGCAAAGATATTCATGGCAGTATTGTGAGATGAAGCCATAAATCTTAACCACGGATTTTGTCTTTTGAACTGTACATTGCAAAACACACATAGAAGTTTCATGGAATAATTATTTTTAAACTATCTGTTTAGTTGTTCCTGTTTGCTTTTGCTGCGCATTCATTTTAAAGCAGGTTTTTAAATGACTCCTTACCTTCCAAGACAGAAACATGCCTTAGCACCAGCTCTCTCCTCTAAGGACCTCCACTTTAATACTTCTGCAGTCGTGTATCTGTTGTGGTTCCTTATAGAAAATGATAATAACCCACTGAGGACAGCAGTGGGTTACTTTGTTCCTGTTTTTTTAAAGAATGGGTTTGATAATTTACTCTAATTTTAGACTTTGACTATTTTTGGCAAGAGTCGGTTGAGCTAGATCAGTTGAACCTTGTACCAGTAGCTTCATTCAACAGTCTTCATGAGCACAAATTCTCTGCTGGACTTTCATTCGTCTCTGAAGAACCTCATGAATTTTACTCATTTTTAAATAAAATTACACACAGGCATGGAGTATTTGTAACATTTAAAGATGCACCAACCATTAATTATTTTTCGATTAAAAAATAAAATCTTACAAATTTTTCTTCCTCCCTTTCATAGTGCTCTTTAGTCTGTTCTGCAGAAGATCAATGATTCTGTACTATTTGTTTGACATTGTGACAGCAAGTCATGCCAAAAGCAAGTATTTATAGTATCAAAAAATGTCCAAAAACATTTAATCTTCTTTAAAGTGAAACATGTTTTTTCTCTTCGTGAAATCAATCGGATTTCAGCAAACTCATCGGTTTAACTGCAGTTCCCCTCTAGAGTTTAAGGTCAAAGGTTGTGTCACCAGAATGGCCTCATGTACATCACAGGTCACCAGATGGCATCTACATATTATTCACTAAGCCAACAGCAGGCTAGGCTCAGGGTGAGCATGGGGGATGGGGGTATCCTCAGGGAACTTGACTTTTTTTCCATAAACTGTATGATCTGTGGCTGATACCAGTCTCAAAAGGCACTAATAGAGTTCATTCATTAAAACCATGTACAGGTTTCTATTTTTTGTCAGTTTATGGTCTGGCATACACCTGAGAAGACCAAGGTTTAATCTGAGAATTCATGGTCTGTCAGGCCA